CAAGGACTTCAAGTTAGGGGCTGGCCACACCACTCAGAGGCTCGCCACACAGGCTGTCGAAAACCCTGTTTTCGACAATTTTGCAACGCCACACAGACCTTCAAAGAATTGCGGCTCAAAAAACTTTCGACAGGTGTCAGAATGGTCCTTTCGACAGCCGCCCTCCAGCAACCGTTTCCCTCCGCCTGCAGGTGACGGAATTTCGACAGTGCCTGGCCGACCTTTCGAAAATTGCGTTCGAATGTGCATTGTCAGGGACTGTTCCGTCAACTTCCGTGAAACCCGTCCGCCTGGCCATGACCAAAAACCTTGCCCCTCGACAGCCTGTGTGGCGAAGGGGGGGTAAACTGTCGACGGCCGACTTTCGAATTTTTTCTGACACCTGTCGAAACTCTGTGTGGCGAGCCTCTCAGTCTGTCTAAACGAAAAGAACGAAAGAATGCATCTTCCTGCGGAGAAGGGCAACTTGAAGATGCAACCCTTATAGTAACTATAAATAGCAATGGATGCATCTTTCCACTTTCTGTACCAGATGCAATTGTTCTCTTTTCGTTTGGCCAGACCCTTACACATCTGATTCAGCCCTTGACATCCAAGAGATCCTCCGCAACCAGCCTGAGCTACGTCCTTTTTTCTTTGGGGTTGGGGGGGGGGGGGGGGGGAACTAGGGCGGAGACGAGGTTTTCAGTTTTAAATGCGTTTCTGAATCAGTCATCAAGGTGGTTCTTTTTTGTTTGTTTAGCTTGGTTCTCTTTGAATGCACTCACTGCATAGAGGCTTAGAGCAATATAATTACACACAAGCTGCATACACAGAAGGACTGGGACCAATGAAAAGGTGTCGTGGGGAGCAGCTGGCCGGACGTGGTGTGCGTTCAAGAAAATTTAACCCATATTATCCAAGACAAGCCAGAACATCACAGATCCCACAGCTGAGGATGGTGTGGCCACACACATATCCTTCAAAGCCCACGCTCCGGGCCCGGGTACGGTGGGAGACTGGGAGTTGCAATCTGGGTCTCTCCGAACTCACAGTCGGTTGTGAATGATCAACTGGGCAGCTGACGGGCAGGAAGGGAGAATCGTCGATCGGGAGATGGGTCTCCGTGCTGGGGATGTTGGAGCTGGAAGTGATCTGCATCCTATGCATTTATGGCCCAAATACGGTGAGAGAAAGGAGGGCCTTTTTTTGGCAGCTTGGGAACGATGGTCCTGGAGGGATCCCACTTGTCATTGCAGGGGATTTCAACGCAGCCCCAGACAGGTGGCTTAATTGCTGGACCCGTGGAGCCTGCAGGCATTGCCAACGCACATGGCGGAAGAGGATGAGCAAATGCTAGGGGAGCCATGCGACTTCCTCTCAGTATTTGACGCGGTCCGCCATCTACACGGTCCCAAATGACGGCACCTTCTCCTGCATACGTGACAACGACCCTGTGAGGCAGTCAAAGTCCCGCATCGACCTGATCCTCCTCTCAAATGACCTGGAAGGAGCCTTTCGACTAGCGGTTATTCTCCCACGGAGTCCCCATCCGGGACTGGACCACGAAACCTGTGGACTGGGCCAGGGATCTACAAACTTAACACATCCCTTATACCTGACAGACACTTTCAGTCCGTCATCAAGGACACATGGCGGTTCTGGCAGCAACAAAACGGTTACACCGGTTTGACTCAGAGCTAACATGGTTCAATAACGGGTTGTACTACCTCGCAAGGAAATGCAAGGAATTTTTGAAAGAGCGAGCAGCGCGGAGGAACAAACAGGAGATAGAGATCCACAAAGAGGTCCATGACGTGGAGAAGCAGGCAAATTCATAAGCTCGAGGAGGGGACATCAAACGATTGAAACAACAATTACTGCAGTTCGCACAGCAAAGATGGCAAGGACTAATTAGGATATGTAGCAAATTAGCCCATCTTTAACCAGGAAGCTACCATGGACTAACTGTCATTTCGTCAAAAAGGACGTTTTTTCCGTGTTAAAATCCAGACCGCCCGCCGGCCCGCCCTTCGTCCGGAAGGGCTCCCAGGCGGCCCGGCCGGTGAGGTCCCCCGATTGGGCACCGGACGGGCCCAGCACAATTTCGCGCGCGGGTAGGGGGCGACATTTTTCCGCCAGTGGCAGCCTCCCGAGGCCTCTAGTGCTTGAAGAAAAAAAAAAAGTTCGACTTTCTAGGAGGGAGGGGCAGGCCTTTTTCAGCAACTGATTCCAGGTATCTGCGAAGATTGGCGGCGAGGATCAGTCATTGGAAAAGGCTTTGTCCCATCCTCCCCTGGCGTGCTATGATCCTGGATTCGAATTCGAAAGGGGGATTTCCTCCCCGCGCACGAACTTCAAAGCCCTGCCGTTGTCATCGACCTGCCCGTCGAGCGTCGTCCTCGAGCTGCCTCTGCCTTGTCGTCATCAAGGTGCCCTCCGCGTGTAGCCGACCTCCTCCTCCTCCTCGGCGTCCTCGCGCGGTGCTCCCATCACGCTGCCCGTCGTCGAGCTTCCACGACGTCGTCGGCCTGCCCATCATCGAGGTGCCGACCTCCTCCTCCTCCTCGCACAGAGCTCCCATTGCGTCGCCCGTCGTCGAGCTGTCACGCCGTCCTCGATCTGCCCTTCGGCGAGGTGCCGACCTCCTCCTCCTCCTCCTCTCATCTTCTTCTTCTTCACTCCTCTCCGCCCCCTCATTTCGTCTTCTTTTTTTCTCTCCTCCTCCTCTTCCTCCTCTCGTCTTCTTCTTCTTCTCTCATCATCCTCCTCCTCATTTCGTCTTCTTTGTCTCTCTCTTCCTCCTCCTCCTCCATTCCTTTAATCTTCTTCTTCTTCTTATCTCCTCCTCCTCCTCCTCTCTTCTTCTTCTTCTTCTCTCCTCCTCCTCCTCCTCCTCCTCTCATCTTCTACTTATTTTCTCTCTTCCTCTTCCTCCTCCTCTCCTCTCTTCTTCTTCTTCTCTCGTCCTCCTCCTCCTCCTCCTCTCGTCTTCTTCTTCAGAATCTTCGCTCCTCCTCCTCCTCCTCTCGTTGTCTTCTTCTTCTCTCCTCATTTTGTCTCCTTCTTTTCTCTCCTCCTCCTCCTCCTTTGGTCTTCTTCTTTGGAGTTCTCCCCTCGCCATCTTGAGCTGAAGAGCGCTGGAAGTTAGCGTCTTTCCTATGGAACACTTTGGAGTTCACCGGTGAGTGTTGAAGATAGAAGATAGTTATCTACCTCGAAGTGATGCAGCATTTGTGGGCGGAGCCGTGGAGCTACCCCACGGGAGGAGAATATTATCTGGCTGTTGAAGCCAAATATCTACGGAGGAAAGTTGGGGGACACAGAGAGATGAAAGTGAACAAGATGAGCATGATCGAGCGCCCTCCAAGATTGGCTTTTGGAAACGGCAGGTTACCTGGAAGGCGTCAGGAGAAAGAAGCGGAGTGGAGAGCGGCCAAGAGGGATAGTTCTCCATTCCGATTTCCTTGTACAAGTGAGTTGGGGGTGGCGGCAATCATTCAATTTGGAAAAGAAAAGATCGTGAAGGCGGACGCATCAGACCAAGTGGAAAGGACGCAGCTCGAGTAAGAGCAGCTAAGCTTGGGACAATCATAATGACAGAGCAGAGAGCATGTAGCAGTCGACAGAGGACAGCAGAGCAGCGAGTATGGAGCAGCGGGCAGTGGATCCGGGAAAAGCGATGCAGTGGAGCAGCGACCTGCAAAAGATAACCTTTCAACAAAAAGAAGAAAAAAAAAAGAACAGAGAGAGAGAGAGAGAAAGAGAGAGAGAGAGAGAGAGAGAGAGAGAGAGCAGGTAGAATAGGCTAGAGTCACTTGATTTTGAAGATGATAATGGTGGTGATGACGATGATGTTGATTTTGAAATGCAGTCCATCAAATTGCAATCCACTGGAGGAGAGGGGGGCGCAGCGCTACCGGGAGCGCTGCGCCCCGGCACCGACCGCGGCGGCGGAGTGAGGCGGCGAAGGGGGAGGGTGTCTGGTTCGCACCGCTTTCGCTTTGAAGTGTCCATACGAACGAACTAAGGCATGGCGATGGCGTGACGGAGACGCTGGAGGGGTTAGGAGGAGTTGCTGGACAGAGTGTCGAGCTTACAACGGCTACTTATGAAGCGTTTTGCGCACGCGCGGGGAGCAAAGGTGCTGGTCTACACCGTATCACAGGTTGATAGGGAGACTAGACTGACTCCCGGGGGCTTCCTGGGAGTTCCGCGTCCATACTCCATTGCTGCTGCGTTTCTGCCCGTGGCATAGAGCCTGTGAGGTGTCGCCTCTGGTGATGCTTGTGGAGTTCAGCGGAGAGAGCCTTGGGCAACCCGAAGTGCGAGTGAAGTAACTGCCCGTCATCACGAGTGTCCTCGTTCATCGCCATCATCATTTTTTCGTGATCATTACGTCGCCGTTATCATCATCACATTATCATCAGCATCATCAACATCATCATCAGGGTGCGGCTCATCATCACCATCATCAGGGCGTTGGGCGTCATCATCATCAGAGCGCTGGGCGCTGTTCGTCGTCGAGCTGATGCTCGTCATCATCATCATCAAGGTTGGTCGGTATCATCACCAGCAGCAGCACTAACGTCATCGTGTGCGTGGTCGTCGTCGTCGTCATCATCATTATGATCATCATCATCATCACCACCATTATCATCTTTAAAATCAGTATCATCATCATCATTATCATCATCATCAGCATTACCGTCGTGATCATCATCATCAGGGTGTTGGGCGTCATCATCATCAGGGAGCAGGGCGTTGTTCGTCATCAAGCTGAGTTTCGTCATCAACAGCATCAAGAGGGTGATTCATCGTCACTATCATACTTTGGTGATTGCTCATCATCATCATCATCATCATCATCATCATCAGGGAGCGGTTCGTCACCGTCATCATCATCCCGCAAATGGGTCGCCATCATGATCAGCTGGGCGCATCATCATCAAGGTTTGTCGGAATCATCATCAGTAGGGTGTTGCTCGTCATCATCATCGCCAGCAGCAGCACCAACATCATCAACAGGAGGTGATTTATCATCACCATCATCCTTTCGTGATCGCAGGGCGCTGTGCGTCGTCGTCGTCATCGTCATCATCATCATCATCATCATCATCATCATCAACATCATAACCATCATCATCATCATCATCATCATCATCATCATCATCATCATCATCTTCAAAATCAGTTTCATCACCATCATCATCATCATCATCATCATCATCACCAATACCGTCGTTATAGTCATTATCATCGACATCATTATCATCATCATCATCAGCAGCAGCAGCAGCAGCAGCAGCAGCATCAATGTGTAAGCATAGCGTGTTGTGGGTTTTGTTCTTCAACATGACCAGTATCAGCATTCTGCCGCTATTACCATCATCATCATTTTGTCACCCTTAGATATTGCGGTTCAAGGCCTGGCTTGCCTCTCACATCAGTAGGTGAGTTTGTTCATCATCACCAGTATCAGCATCTTTAGGATACTGTTTATCGCCATCTGAAAATCCAAAAAAAAAACACAGCGCGCGTTGGAAAACTGCACGCAACAAGGAAAATGGCGCGCGCGCGCGCGCTCGATGATTGCGCGCGATTGGGCACGCGCCCTGACCTGAAAATTGGACCACCGGTGGTCTATGTCAAGGAGCTGAGGTGGTCCAAATTTCGGATCAAATGGCTCAGTGGATCATGAGATATCGAAGATTCAGGGTGCGCCATGAAATTCGAGTACGTCGGGCGAGGTATAGTGATTTTCACCATCTGTAGTATCACAATCATCAGCACTATTATCCTCATAGCTATCATCTGTTGTATCACGATCATCAACACTATCATCCTCACAGCTACCATCTGTCGGCGATGTTGATCGCCACCACTATCTTTAGGCTACCGATTCACTCAAATAATCATCTATAATATTTCGATCATTATCACTACCATCATCAATATTAATATCAATCTGAAAACCTTTTAGTCTCAGGGTACCGTTTTCGGCTACCCAATTATCCAATAGTCATAAATATTTACATCCTGATTAGCTATATCTTGATTACCTACGTCTAGATTACCTATATCTTGATCACCTATATCCTGACTACCTATATCTCGATCACCTATTTCTTGATTACTTACTTCTTGATTACGACTATTTGTAGCAGAAATTCCAGACATAACGTTTTCATGTTGGGATTGTTTAGCAATTTCGCCACTGGGTTTTACCCTGCATGTTCCCCCTTTGTTTCGCTTTTTTCATGAGTTTTTGCAGACGCTGTAGTGGGGATAGGACTTCGCAGGTTATGGCTGGAACTTTGGTAGGCAGGGGTTTTTTGAGACTCCAGGGTACAGATATACAGTAGTTACCCACAGCAGGTCTGCGATCCAGCTGGTCTAAGTTAGGGGACAAGCCAGGGGAAGGACGGTAGGACTGTTAGCCTGGGCTCCGCCTGGCCTTCGGTAAGCTAGGGAAGGAGAGATAGGGCTGGCCAGTTGTGGGTATAGACTACTAGTTAGCTGTCCCCGAAAAATTAACCTTGGGGTCTGTTATAGGGGAGCCTTATTCTACAGGGGTGTTGCATGGTGGGAAGCAATAGCCCTATTGGGAGTAGGGCAGATTGGGGATTGTCTAAGTCTGGGGCCGGGGTTGGAGAGTTGGTCGCCTTCAACCCCAGTGGGGGCAGATAGGGACAAGGGGTGGGCAAAGGCAGCCTCTAGGAGGGGATTGGTTGCCGTTGCGGAGGTGGTGGTGGGAGGGGAGGGGATCTGTTTTATGTTGGGGCCGAGGGATTTTCCTCGGTGGAGGCAGCATGAGACAAGGTATAGTGGGTAGGGATTGGTTTGAGCTGTGACCAAAGGAAGCGTATCCTTTCTACGGCGTCGTCAAAAAAGATCTGATGACATCCTCTCAATCCTTTGATTGGACTCCAATTATCTTTTCTCCCTTTGAACTATGTGGTGGAGGAGGTCGGCTCGTCGAAGGGAGATGGAAAATTGAAGTCCATTCTTAACCATATGGGTTTTGGAGAGGTTGATTGTCTGC